AGTAAACAGACCCAAGAGACTGTTTGCTTTGGGGATTTAAAAGCCCAAAAGCTATTTCTCAAGGATGGAATTCTTCTTAAAGAAAAGGTGGCTTGAATGACCTACAGGCAAAATGGCAAGATGCAAACTGCATACATATATAAATAATGAAAAATAATCAAGTCGATACACACACAGACCCTTCCTCCCCCAATTATGTTATTTTAAGGACATCAGACTGTTTTAAATGTGCGCGCGCTGAATGTTTCATCTAAGCCCTACGCAGATCTTTAATTACCTGTGTTTTATTTATGTTTTCCAGAGGCTGCACTGATCTGTATACATTCTGTTGTTTTGACCTATGATCAAGACAATAACGGCTCAACAGTATTTCTGGAATTGACACGCACCATCGAAGAATCGAGAACTACCGAAATCATGCAAATACTTGCAGTCTACGTTGTTTATGTCAGCAGCAGACTTCCATCCTAAGACTCTTTCGTCTCATGACAACGCTGCCAACGAGTTTGACTTAACAGCTGGATTTCATATTCTCAAAGCTGGGGGAAACAACAACTGTTTGCTGATTTTTACAGCCCAGTAACCCTAGGAAGTCTTCGGTGCAACCAACCATCAGTTTCATGCTGCGTGCTGGCAGCCCGCGCTCGTGTTCCAGCTAAGACTTTAAGCGATGCCGGTGCAGCCTGAACACCCACCCCGTCTTCCTCCCCCTAGTCCTGATGTGCACATGACTGCAAGGTACATCTGTATGTGCATTTATTTCCAGGGAAGGCATCCTGAAACTCAAAAGTGTGCATGCTATTTTCTGATACTGGTTTAATTCTGTTAAGTTGGTTTAACACAGGCATTGTCACTGACAGGGTCTTGACTGCGAGAAGTATTACAGACAGACAAAAGTCAGGTAGGTTTGCAGAGTCCCTTGGTTAAGGAGGGTTTAGATGGACCCAGACAAAGGGAAATAGGAAACTCTTCAGCAGCACAAGACAACCTGCCCCATCCTGGGCCTGGTATTTAGTATTTAGAACCAACATGAGGGCAGTTAAAAGTCTAATGTCACTTAAAACGGATGGGGAGAGCCACAGAAATGGAACCTTGAATCTCAGCAGCGGATAGATAGAAAGCAAGCGCAGGACTTTTGAGCAGCCCAGAATTCACTGGACACCAGGTGGATTCCAGAAACATGAAGGAAAGTGCAGATTAAGGTCACCGTAGACCATAAGAATGGCATGAGAATCCATCAAGCGAAGGGGTCCTGAATTTAAAGCTGGGATTAAGGGCTGTGCGAAGAAGACTGAAAGCAAGGCTCGAGATCATTGAGACGCCACTCAGGAGAAAAAGCTGGTCATTCTAGCTTGTCCCAAGACAGGGATACTGGAAATCCATAGTAACGTTCTTAAACACAGAAAATCACATTAAAGACTGGTCTTCCTCACTGCTATCCATGAAGATTTACTCCAGAGTTATAGATAACATTTCTCTACTTGTATATTTCAAACACGCACACGATAGAACACATGAGAGGTCGGACCATTCAAAGAATATGTATTTAATGACTGTTGAATACAGATGAGATCCATCAAACACCAACAAAGAGTAATTTACACTCAAAATCAAAAACTCACTGTTTTTCTCTAGTGGCTGGTGTACATGCACAGAGATAATTTTTTTCTACCAACTCCAGAAAACACCTCGGTTACCATATTTAGCAGGCTTGTACTCGCCTTCAACTGGTGGGTTTGGTGGTGGTCTTGATCTGGAATGGCAAGGATTTTCGGGGATTGGACGGTCGGTCTTCACTTTAGTGACCTGGAAAGGGAAGAATCACAACGGAATATCTTGCTAACCACAAGGAATGAAGGTGCTGCAAGGAACAGGACTTTGTAGAAGAGGAAGCTGGTGGCAAGAGCAGGTGGGCCCACAGAAGATGCTGAATGTACAAAGCTAGCTTAGATGCAGTCAAGACCATAGGATCTCGTGCACAATATTTTCTACTCTGACGAGACTAAGTGGGCACTCACATATATTGCCCTATTACACTTGGGCGTTCGCTCAGTTTCCAATGGAAGAGCAGAGGGAAGCCGCAGAGGCAGTCAGGAAAGCATCTGATGAACCAGCCAGAAGGTATGGCTTGCAAGCTAATGCACAATGTAGGAAGAGGCACATGCAACCCTGCGAACCAGCCCCCAGAACATAAGCACACAATAAAATAGACACGGCAGCAGGAAGGGGTCACCTGTATCCCCTCAGGCTTTGAAAGAGCTCTGCACCCCAAATCATCCTATAAAGTAACCACAGTTTTGATGGAGCAGCTTACAAGAGGGGCCCACATGGGCACAGAGGGACAGAGAAGGGACCTGAATCTACGTCGAGACCGACATGCTGGTGGAACTACTGCAAAGCCAATCTGAACCCAAGCTCAGCTTCCGTGTGTTGTCCAGATGTGCTCTGGGTTAGGTGAGCGAGTGCAACCAAACAGTGAAGTATAACTTTGATAAAACGAGACTGCCGCAGTAAAACCTCGCAGGGTAATTTTGTATAGCCAGAGTTAAGATTAGACCTAACATGAGACAGAGCAAAGCAGTTCACCGCTGCCATTGCTGCTTTTGAGAATCGCAAAAGGACAGAAAAGTTATTTCATTTATTATTGTTGTTGTTTGTTGTTGAGCTCCTCCTCCCACTGAGAAGCAGCAACGGAATTTTCTGTCACAGACGCCAAAATACACTTTGGTTAATCTTGGCTGCTATATACGCACACCTCAACTTTAAGCTGTGGGAAAGGAGTCCCTGGCTGGGTAAGACCTGGGAGAACTACAGCAAATTCCAAACGATGAGCACATCAACCGCACTGATGCGCAGCTCCCCAACTGCACAACTCGAAGCAACCCCATCCGTTCCCTGCCCCCCCCAAAAACATCCTGAGCAATTAACTGAGGCAGCCACTTGATGGCTAGGATGGAGAGGAGATGCAACTGCTCCCAAACCTGGCAGTTATGTGCGCAGGAACTAACTGACCCTTTCCAGGCCAAGCCTCTTCCTACCTCGCCGACTCTCACGCCAACCGCTAACCCTGCCACCACAAGGCTGCACCACAGAAATATGCCTAGCAGGACTAGGAATAGGGAGCTCAGACCCCCTGCCTTCATATTTCAGCAGTTTACCCTCCCCTTAAAGGGCTGGCTCAATCTGGCAACGCTCCACAGTCTACGTGCCTTGCAACAAAGAGCAAAGTCAGCTTAGCCTTGCCATGTTCTCAGAGTTGTGATGTGAAGGAGTAAGAAAGGAGCGGGTCTTTGCGTTCTTAGAGAAAAGCTGGCGAGGGTGGGAAAGCAGCAAGAAGCGCCGGGTTTGCTGACAACGAGCCCGCGCCACAAAGAGACAAGCGGAGGGTTCAGTTACCTTTGACAGCTGCCCCAGGTCAGGCCTCACCCAGCCCAGCTTCTGCAGCACGCAGTCGTCGAAGAGCTGCTGCTGCTTCCGACAGTGCCGGAACTCCAACACGTTGGAATCGTCGATGCAGGTCCAGTACTGGGTGAAGGGCTCGGCGCAGTGCAGCTTGATCTGCCTGTGAACCAGAAGAGGCTGCCTTTTGTGGGCCGAATACAAGGTGGCGAGAGCGGTTCGCTCCCCAGACCACCGGACAGGACGACGACAGGGGGAGGGTGCATATAAAAAAAGGGAAGAACGGGAAAGTACTCCCTCCCGGGGCCCCCAGAGCAAGGGCCCCTTTGCCCAGCAGCCCTG